TGATCGCTGCAGATGCTGGTTGTCCGAGGGAAACACCTTACTGCTGTCACACCCCTCTGCAGTCAGCAGTACGACTTCGCCCTCAGACCTTGAGTAGCTGCTTTTAGTCTCATCGTTCTCCAATCGAACTGCCTGGCATGGTAGAACCTTGAGGAACATATGTTCCAGTCAATTTATCTCGGTTGGGTCATCACGATAGGCAAGCCCGACCACCACGTCAAGGTAGCAGCTTCGGTCGGGCATGGGAATCAAGATCTTCAGATAAATGAACTTTATTAGTGTATTCCATACAAAACACACCATACTGTGTAAAACAGAAGTTCATTTGCGTGACTTACGTACACACGATTCTTGGCTTGACAAACATCTCATCTTCATCGAACAGATCTCATAACCAGGAATTAATGTAGGGAAAGTAGCTGACGGATTCTGTAGCCTCAGGCAAATGAGTCACAGGCCAGAAAAGATCAAATGAACTGTGACAACAATTTGTCTCAAACCAAGCTCGGATTACATAATTGTTACTGATAGGCTTTTATGAAACGAATCAATGGATCTTACAGAAATCATATGTATATACACAGGTTTAGGTAAATATATCCAGCATAAAACTTCCGAGCCTAGCATGTCCAGATTGCTTGGCAATGGCATAAAAGGCATATACCGTCTATACGAACAGTAGGTGAGGATTCTGCTCTCCTCATATATTTTGTGTCTTATTACATTACATTAGCTTGGTTAGAATATTATGGAGTAGCTGAATCTTAGTCAATATTCAACTACAACATAAACTAGTCGAAAATGTACCCATCAAGTTATGGACTTGTAACAGGACAAAACAACAGATATCAATGATCTGATGCAGTGTAAGCCGTCCATAGCAAATGTAACCCAAATTCTAGGAAGTGGACCAGATCTTTAGTGGGATGACTTACCCAACTTCCGGGAATAAGTCTTATTGTACATGAAAGATCCCGATAACAAGAACGACACAACTGAATTCCTGCCCTTAACTAAACAGTAGCGGACAATATGGAGTCCAGTAGTCGCTAGAAGTGCACGGAATAAAGTCGTTAATCCTTGCAAGAGAAAATCGATATGCATGTTTTTTCCATCAGTGGTATAAAACGTTTCACTTGAGCTACATGTTTAAAAATTTATCTAATACCATCTAAAAAGTATTAACAACCGCAAACCAATGAGACATAGGTAATACCGGGAGATAGGTTACTAAAATCTAGGACTTACCCAAGCATTCTTATCACTTTGAAACGAATACACATGAGCACTTGGAGACTTGTCTAAAACTTGTGTGCAATATTTATCGTACGTTTGAATCAATACGAGGTTAAGCTCGTCCTCTTCCTTCATGTTTCTCTCGATATTTGAACAAGCGCCAAATATCATTTTTGTAACGAGATAAAAAATTTACATAGTATAAACTTTTTGAAACATTTTCTTCTAATTGAAAAAGATGGTTGATTCGCTCTCTACTTTAATAAGTTTTTGAACTTATTGTTATGACTACATGAAGCGCAAAATTTTAAAGTTGTCGGTTACTGGACTACATTCGGCTATCTATGGCTGGATTAATTCCGCAACCCCCACGATTTACCCATGAAGAGTGGACTTATAGCAACAATTTAAAGTATCGTAGTGCAGAGAGGGAACGCGAAGTATCACAAGGACTTCAAAATGAGTGCGACCGACTCATTGAAGAAACGGCCAGACGCACTGAAAGAACACTAAAAGATGTAGAGAAAAAGTTTGGTATGTCCTTGTTATAAGTAAAATTTCATAATGCAGATCAAAGGATTGCTGATATCAAATACTGGAAATCAGAAGTCAATAAGAAACTGCAGGATACTACGGAAGAAACGAAAATATTAGATGATTACTTTATCCGATTGAAAAAAACACTTGAGGCAACTGAAGAGCCTCTTCACTTTGCTCAACAATGTTTACTTAGTCGGTAGGTTTTGTAGACGTTTTTTTCCATTCCTATCAATTTTTAGTGAGGGAAGAACAGGTATTGATCTTGTCCATGACGATGCGCAAAAGGAGCTCATAAAGGAGATAGAAGTAATTAAAGGCGCCCAAGCAATCTTACAGAGGACGCTTGAGCAAGCCAAGGAACAGCTAAGGCACGTTTATGCACAAATTTGTGTTTTTATATACTATTTTCTTGATCCTTGCCATTCGACTCAGATACTTTTTCACATTGTAATCGTAAACCACTAATTGTTAGACCACTATTATAAACCTGGAAGTACGCCCTTTTCGTCATGATTTAGGACTCTTCAGCTTGCGGAAATCGATTCCAGGACTTTCGGTCTTGTGCTTGACTGCTTTTTCTCTGGACCACTGAGCCGGTATCCAACACTGCTGATGTCTAATTTTGATCAATCTAAGGATTATACGCGACCTCACCAATCGTCTCCGGTAGTTACTGCCTAAACCCGAATGTGCTGAACTCGGCTTGTCACAGCTTCCTATTGGAACTCCAAAAATTCCTTCACAACGTTATTCTTTAGTGCGCACATTTTATGTATTCAAACGATTGCCATGTGCATGGAAAGCACTCCCAATAAACACCGCCTTGTTCATTCTTGTGGAGACTATGTTTTTCCGACCATTTTCGTTACCGATATTTTTTATCACTTCTCATTTACAAATGATATGGACATAAAGCGTATCGTATCGCGTTACTGCTTAGGTCCTTTTCTATGGTAGATGTGACACTAGAATCGCCCAAGAACGTGTCCTCTGATACTAAATTCTAAGCATTTTGCGTTTACCAGTATTAAGTGACGGCAGTTTAACTACATTTCCATTGTTCATTTCGTATAGGTCTTCTGAAAAGATGATAACACCTATGAAACTCTTTACTTCTGTTAAAAAAGTTAAAGTGAACATTACTCTGTATTTAGAAGCATACCCGGTGTGGAGTGACATCGCTCTTAAGTTAGTCTTAGTATAGGATCGTTAAAATAATGTTTTAAAACTTTACGCATATATAACGTTGTTACCCTTCAATAAAATAAAACATAATCTTTATCTCCATCAAAATACAAAATAAACCTGATTACGTTTATTGGTTCTCAAACGTTTTACATTGAGATTGATGCTTGTTTCTCCGTCTGTATAGCAGGAGATATTTCCAGAATGATTTTATGACAAGAATATCACAACGGAAGCTGAAACACTATACTTAAAGCCTATTAGGTTATGTGATGACACGTCTTCTCTAGGTACATAGTTTACACTGCAAAATGTTTCCCTATTTCTTTAGTTGGAATTTTTATCCAACTAAAATTTCAGTTTCTCAAGCTTCACATTGTACTGTAATTTTGTCATTTGTCATACTTTAATGTCATTCCAACGTTATTTAAGAGCAGTTTTCCATTCCTATAATCAGTATGCGTTTGATCTTTAATCTTCTCTCAGTATTCCAAGAAACCACTTACGTTATTAACTATCGCTCCGCCAAACTAGTAAAACCAAGATAGTTCGGTTTACTTTCTTTCTTTCTTCCTTATTATTTTTATCTCCCAAGAATGCATTCTGATGAAATAGGGTTAGTGAAAAGCTTACTTCCACCCGCAATGATAATCAATTTTTCAGTCTCCAGTTCATCTGAATTATTAGATATTTCACCTATATGTAGAGTAGAGCAAAATACTTAGTAAACACAACACACATACTGATAAAATATTTTATTCCTAATAATTATCAGTAGAGAGTTTCTACAAATACAAAGCAAAGTACAACTAACTCTGTAAAACTTACATTTCTTTTTTTTACTTACTAAGTTTTTTCAAGAACTCATTCCTTTTGCCTTCAAATATCCAGCCCTGAAACTATATAAGTTCACCTTTATTGGTTGACTTATGTCATACTGAAACATCATTTGGTGGTCTTTACAGTACAGCTTAAGTTTTTAAGTAATATATGTAAGAAGAATCATAAATATACATTAAACATCTAAATTTTATTGCTCAACCTATTTATTGTAAGAGTTGTGGGTTCAAAATCTACTTCTTTCAGCTAAAGACCAAAAACTTTTGCCTTAAATAGATCAGAAGAACATATACTTGCATATGAATGTAAGTAACTATAAATTATTCTGTTAAAATTACAATATACGGATACGTTTAAGATTTCAATGCTGGGTAAAATCTACAAGCATAAATTATTAGGCTTATCTACACATGATGCCTTTTTAACATGAATCGCCATTATCAAATTAACAGTTCATGGTATCACAAGTGAATGTTAAGCTCAGGATGAGGCTGAATAACTCTAATTTCGATGACGTAATCAGTCAGTTAAGAAACGAAAATCGATGCTAACCGACCCATCCTAAGTTTATTTCATAATCCGTCATTAGTGTAACAACTTCAAAATAGTATTTAGTTTTAGTAACTTTTACATCTTTTAGAATTAAATTGCAGTTATTTTTCATAATTCAGCCGTTAGTAGTTGGAAACGTTTAATAATGGGATCAGGTCAAGGTTTCAAACTACTCCAGAATGTTTTTTTTCTGTAACAGTAGCTAAGGTAAATAGAATTTACACTATTTACAACAATCACTTATGTTATCGTAAATGAGTACACAATAGTTGTATGAACACTTTTTTACACTATTGTAGTAATATTATTTCGGAATGATTACATAAAATTATTTATTAATAATCATATGATATATAAACCTACAATTATATATGCTTTTGCAAAGTCTTCTCAGTTTTCTATGAATAAATCTTTCCTCTTAGCGTATCTTTTCGGTCATATGCCTCAAAAAAAACTAAAAACTATTACCACAATTTGATGCTTTATGTTTATCTAACAATAAATATACTATTTGCGAATTTAATGAGGAATTATTAGATTAATTCTGATTTTTCACTCGGTTGATTGATAAATTCATTAGCTTCAGTTTATAAGTTTGTAATATTATTATGAAAATAATACAATGTGTATGCGGTATAAATTAAGCCTTAAGACTCATCGATAGGTGCATGTTAAAATAAAATGGATATATCATAGACGTTCCTAAATCTGTCCAAAACGTACTGCAGTAGCTACGAATATATATATATATATATATATATATATATATATATATATATACACTTTAAGATGGAAACTAAGAATAAAACGCACTCTGATGTGGCAAGCATTCATAAGATCATACAAATACCATACAATAATGTAAATAATAAAGCGAAAAAGTTACGTCGAATTATATGAAACATTACAGACTGTAGTTAATTACATGTACTAAAACTTGTAAACTAATTTAATTGATCAGCACTAACAAGTATTCATACTTTGTTGATCAACTAAATCCATATCTCATGGTCATTTCAATACTTAAATGACTTTGTCTTAAGTTTGTGGCATTGTTTTCTAGTAACAGTGTCTTTCATATATATGTATAGTAATGTTGCTACTTAACTTGTAATCGCTGAATTGCAAGTTTCAATCGAGCTCATCTGTGTTGCTTCAGTAGGGTATAGGATAACAGTAAACTTTATGAGTACTAAAATAAAGTGGTTTAACAGCTTATATCAGTTAGATCGTGAAACAAGCACGTCACACTACATATAACCCTCAAGATGATATTTGTAACAAGGGATTTTGACGTTTCCATCTTTAAAGTCCTCCTCTAAATAAACTGTTTTTGTTTGATAACATTCCACAATATCGCTATTTGCATATTATCGATATGAATAAGACAACACTTAGCTAACATGTTGCCTAATTCTTTTGAGTATCCATTACATTTTACACATCTGAAATGTAGCAAAATATTGTATTTAAGCATACAAGAGAATAACTATAAGCTGTTGTTTGTTTAAATGTCTCTTTCAAATCAAATTTCCATGTCAAATCTTTTTTTTTAATTACCACTGACAAATAATTTTTATGTTGTTTGCGAAGATTCATTAAATCTGAAAATAATTTTTAATACAAGTCTTCATGTGCCAAAAAAATCAAAGAATTTGAAGGATTACTAGTTAAGTTTTGTGCCTATTTTATAAAAACCAAAAGAAAAATTCCAGTCCATATAGAGAATTCAGTTTATGATTTAAAAGTGATTGAATGTTATTCACCCAGTATGAAATTATAATCTTCGAAATGTGGATGTTAACATGTTATTGTGTCCTTCTGGAATCACTTGTGATGTCATAGATTTATTCGGAAATTTTAACATGATAATTTGTTGTTACTCAGGAGGATAATGGGAATCATCAAACATAAGTTTTTCATAGAACAGTGAGTGACAAGACGTAATTGATCTGAAATTTTTTTTTCATATCTTAAAATTATCACTAGTCATCATTAGTTCACTGCCTTTTGAATTGTAGATTAAATCGTAAAGCAATTTATAACATGAAAAAGGACTCTTCTGATAAGGTGCAAGCTCAATGTCTTGATGAATATGCTCTTAGTTTAAAGCCAACTGATGAATCACTACCTGGATTTACTCCGGGACCAAAAATTGAGCCAAAGTAAGCTTACATATTATTGATAATAATAAATAGATTCAACTAGTTATTGGTCTATGGGTGATGATTATTACACAAGTTAAAATAAAATTAAACAATGAACTATGTTAGAACTTGAACTTTTTAGGCATTTTGTGATCATAGACCGTTTACAATAACAGCACACTGGATAAATATAAAACAACTTTTAATCCTGTCCAATGAGTAAACAACTATATTCCAAAGCATATAAACAGTCCCACCATCTGCATTTCCAAAAAAAAGGAAATTTCAGTATCATTTTAATAGACAATGCAAATTATTCAGTATGTCCACGATAATGTTTAATCTCGCATAGATAAGTGAGCGAACATTACTTAGATCCAAAACAAGAGATGTCAAAATAACAATAGTACCTATGACAATGAGAATATGAGCTTTAGAAATCTAGTCTAAATGAAACGGATGAAAGTAGAAAGACGAACAATGAATGTATGTGCTGTGTTCTGTACATGCTTTTGACTCACTTTCGATGGCCCTTTAACCGCTAATTAAATGAACCCTGATTAGAGTAGCTCCGCTTGCTAATGCGGTAAGAGAAAGAAATTTCACCAATCACTTGAGACTTAATACCAAGAATATTATCAGGAATAGACATGCAGTAAACGTGTCATACATTTTTTTTAGTAATCCACTTCATCATTCATTCATCGTTTTACTTCAATATTCGACTCTCACCAAATCGTCTCTTCTAAAATTTCTTTTGATATTATCTTTCATTCATGAATAATTTAAGTATACCTAATGAACATATTTTTCAGTTCTTTTACTCAAGAAGAATGGCAAACATTTTCAGTTAACTCAATAGAAAATGGTGATAGACAATTGCAAACTTCACATGAATTAAGAAGTCTTATTGATGGAATTATACAACAAGTGGCATCTGACATAACACGTCAAATTGAAGCAACTAATCGTGCTTTGAACAAAAGAATTTCGGAAACTAGAAGCTCTAAAGCTAAATTAGAAGAACATTTGAGTGCAGTAAGTTGTAAAGGTGTATGGCAATTTTTTTTCAAATGAACTAATGTTTTCAGAGTGCTAAGATCAGATATGTCAGTTAAATACTTTTGCGTTTTCGCATTATACATATGCCCTTTCAGTCTAGCGTAGAAATGGGGTAACGAATTCAAAAGTTTCCTAAACCATATAAAAAAAACTGGTACTATGAAATCCATTTTATTTGATGTTCATTGTGTAGTAATCATTTTGCAGATATGAATGCTATCGTTTAGCAGTAGTCATTCAATAATTAGGGAACACCAAATAACTGTTTACATCTTAACTGCAACGATAAGTAACTAAGATTTCTTCGGTTCTATGAAAGTGATATTAACATTTTCTCACAATTGAAAATACTATTGCAAATTAAAAGTCTTGCTAAGTCTGTATAGTTCAAATTACCATCAGTTAACAAATTCAAACCACTTATATTATATATTCAACTAAATGATGTGGGATATATATATATATATATATATATATATATATATATATATATATATATATATATATATATATATATATATATAAACTCTTTATTCAAACGCATATACATTATCATCAGAGTTATGGTTTACTGAAGTATAGTGTTTTACTATAATATTTTAGCATTTCTAATATTTTTTGTCTTATAATGTCTACACTTAGGACGAAATGGCTTTCAAATCGGTGAATAATATGACAGAATTAACATAAAAGCGTGCTGTTTGTTCTGGTTCATGATATTCTTTAATGTTTATCTTTGTCTTGTTTGAACTAAGAGTAAGTTAGGTACTAGGTTCGTCTTACTACTGGCTAAACACTGGGTTGTCTCATAATTGATTATTCTCAAAAACGTGTCTGACAAAATATCTGGGACCATTTTTAATGTCACTGTAATTCTTAAATTCCCTCCAAACACCCTGGTACGTCAGGAGCGAGTCGAGTTCAGTCTCCCATCTCAATGATCTCATATGACAACGCGTATATAGCCGATGTCAAGGAAGTCCCGCTCACTGCCTCGTCGTGATGGGGGCGTCATTTACAAAACTGAGTGGACGAAAAGCGTATTTCCGGTCCCTCAACCACATCCAGGGATGCAGCAAATCCACCTAGGAGGGTTTGAAGGCCCCGATTCAAAACCAATTGTGCACATAGGCTGCTAGATCTTGATGGAACAAATGGCTTATGAATCTTTGGTTTATCACCGGCTACCATGGGATTGCACCTCTTTACGTTACTCCATCATCGCCTTGTGAATTAGACCGGTTCAAAGGCTAAGGGATGGTCCCAACGAAAACCATCTGCTTCGGTTTGGGCACGTGGGTAGTATTTCAGCCCACTCAAAACTTCAGTAATTCATCTGGCGCAAAAATATTTAGGTATCCCTTGGTATGGATAATTATGTGCTTAAATAAATAATTTTACAGATAAATAACCTGAAGTCGTATCAGACATCCTATTCGGAATACGAATCTTTTTAAACTGTGACGTGCAAGAATTATACAAAAACCTTTCCAAAAAAAATACTTGACAATATCAACGTCCTGCTGCAACAACTTTCCAATGATAAAAGCAATTTGTCATTTTCCTTCCTTGCATCGCATCACCTGACAGTAGAAATACAATCATTCATTTCAAATTTATGTTCAGGATAAAAATTTGAAAGCACCTAGTATTGTTTATATTGCTTTTAGCGAGAAATGACTCAACTTGAATATCTCAGTTGACCAACAAAATAATAATTGATTCGAATGATTAAAATTCAAATGATAACTGTAAATTCTTGTCATTTAAAATTAAAAATTATTTGCTCTTGTTGAATCAACAATATTCTTCAACGAAATCGATGTTTTTAATGGTAAATTGTCATATATATATATATATATATATATATATATATATATATATATATATATACTTTTTAAATGGTTTACACAAGTTGGTATATTTTTTATATAATTAAAGTAGATGTTTTCAATCTATCTACTTAAAGGTTATCAAAGAAATTTCAAATGTAGAAGATACACTTCGTGAATTGGAAAAGGCTATCAAAGATAAAGACGGTGCTCTGCGTCTAGCTGGAACTCGTTTAGGTATTCGTAGAGAAAGACCGAATGTTGAATTATGTCGAGATCCAGCAAATTATCGGTAATGATATTGTAATCTCAAAAGTTAATTTAATTTTCTGCCAGTTTCTCCAGTAATAGCTATACTTTCCTGAAATACACACATACATTAATTATGAAAAGCATAAGTGTTTACAGTATTGTTTTTATCGATAAATTAATACACGAAATACTTATAAGCTTGACTATACGGTAATAATAGCAACACTGCTAGGTGCAATGCTGTGAGTCCAATATTTTACTACTCGTTAGAAAATTTAAGGTTAATGGTCAGGATTTGATGCTATTACAATAGGAGCTTTTTAGAAGAAATATCACCTTTCGCGTTCACTAGACATATCAATATAATCCCACTGCCATCTAGTGTTCAATCACAGTTCACAACCACCTGAAACAAACGAATACCGGATGAAAAGTTGTGGACACTTTTTATGCAGTAGAAAGACAAATTGAGCCATAAGTCTGTGTCACGTGTATTTTCACTTTTGAGAGGGTTAATATGTGACTCTTTTATTTACTAAGACATTGTCGATGTGGATTTGAACTGAGAAAAGTTGTAATGGAATTGTAAAAAAAAGCCAGTTATTTTAATTTTGAGGATAAAAATATCAGTTTATTAGTTATTCGATAATTGTCATGATCACGTTGACATTCCTGTGACTAAAAGTAACGCTGTCTATAGCGATCTTCCTCATTTTACTGAACACATCAACTATTATCAGCTTGATTTATGAACACTTCATTTATCCCTTTTCATGATATTTTCATTTCTCTAGATTAATCCAAGAAGTAGAAGAGATTCAAGGTGATATTGATCAACTTAAAGAAAAGGTTCATGCAGCACATACCTCCTTAAAAGCTTTATGTCGTCGTCAGTTGGATTTAGAAGAAGAAATTCAAATTAAGGCTGCGACTTTATTTATTGACGAAGTACAATGCATGGGTATACGCGGAAGTATAAAATTTAGTGCATTTTAATCCATAAACAAGTATTTATGTGTACAATATGACTAATATGCTTTTATTCAACAAAATCAAAATCAAGCACTTCCTAGATATACCGCCAGTTTACAAATAAACAGATACATGCTACTTATTATTCATACCTCAGTGAACAAAACTTCTTGTGATAAATATATATTCTTGTTTTAGTGACATTAACAATAGGGCTTTCATGATATCCTACTTATATCTGTTGTTGAGTTACGAAAGAACGAATATTTTCTATAAAATAGAGAATTACGTACATCTGCTTTTGAAAGGTTGTTCTATTTAAACAATTATATGAAACGCTGAAAATAGCAGGTCAGAATAATCTCCAGTTTATGATAATTTATCAGCATTATTGCTTGATTTTACTTTAAAATAACTTGCACTTTATTGAGTTGTAGACTTCCTAATTATAAAAATGAACTTTCTTAATTCGTATTCAGACTTTTATCTCTTTATTTGGTACTTTGCTTTAGAGAAAATGATCATAAATGTAGCTAGATAATTATAAGAAACTGGATTTTGCAGTGCTACTTTTCAAAAATTGCAGAGAAATAACGTGCTTCTAATAAATTGTATCCGTCTTTCACAAAGATTTGATCAATCATGAATGAAGAATGACGAAATACCAGTCGAGTTGAAACAACAGTGTTCGCTATGACATACCTAACTAGATCTGAAACGCTAAGTCAGGCAGTGCAAAAGGTGTGTTCACTCATTGTGGTACCAGAAATTGTATATGGCGATCGAAATAGGTAACATGAGGTTGATCTTCATTGGGGTGCGCTCCTGTTGCTAGTATCTTCATCAGGTAGTTGATTGACTTGCTGCCATTACTGTGTCCAATAGCATGTAATACAATGAATAACGCTGTTTTTAAAGTCCATCATGGAGTGCTGGCATCAAGCTTTTCATCTTAGATGTGCGTCCAAATGTTGAGGAGTGCTAATAAAATAAGGGTCACAGACACAGAATATGTAAAAGTGCCAGCCTGCAGTCGCGATATGTGATAAAAAATATGAATTCCGTATGATTTTAGGGGGCTTTATGTATTTTGAAAATTTTCACTAAGCCTCCTAGTCTGAGAACTCAAACGAAATAGTCGCTTATACATTTTCTGATTTTTTATCGAGTTCCCAACTTAACCGTCATCTCAAACGCTCAAGTATTTATTGGCGTTCGAGTCGAGAATGACTACGATCACCACTCAATACTTCTTACGGGCCCGCCATAGTGAAGAAGGGTTATTCCATAGTAAAGAACATGAAATTACTGACGATTTCGTGATATCGAAAGAATACCGAAGGTGTGCCAGAAAAGAGGGGCGAAATTACACAGATAGTGGAGCAAAAATGGCAGCAACACAAACAAAATGTTTGCATGTACAGTGTTATAAACAAAAAGTACGGTTAAACAATCACTTGTACAACTGGTTATAATTATGAATGTTTTTATTAAACCAGTCACGTTCTCTCCATAGAATTGGATTTACTACAAGTATGAGTGTAGCAAATGGTACATACCTCCAGCCCACAAAATTGCTTAGCCCAATTCATTGAGACAGACTCTGTGACTGTTGTACATTACTGAACTGTCATTGAGCAGATAGTCTTTTTCTCAGTTCTGAAATCCTAATTACTACCAATGCATTCGCTGAATAAAAAATAAGTCCGAAATATCAATTTATTCTCAAAGTCGATAAAATTAAACGTTAGGATGGTTGGGCTGCGACTACCGCTATAGGAAAACTGCGGTTCCGTTGATCTTCGATGCTTCCGTTCATGTCTGAGGTTGTAAACAGAACACTAACCGCATCAGTAGCTTTTAATCTGAACCTAATATGACTAGGTGGCTTTTGTTTACATGCGCTCAATCTGGTAACTATGAGCGTTTTTGATGGTGTTATTATTTGACAGTCAATTAAGCTTGGACGACTAGAGTGTAGCACCGAATTACTGACTGGAAAATGAATTGTAAGATATCTGCTGAACGAATGACAAGACGTTTACGCTTTCAAGCTACTTTTATTGTGATGCGACTTCCCGTCATTTCACTCCGTTTACTTCAATATCGATATTTATGATAAAGTCGAAGGAGTTAAGGCGATACAACAATCCAATCGACAGACTAAAAATTTAAAATTTCCTTTGAACTGTCCAGACTGAAAACTTCCAAAGCTCTGTCAAGCAATCCGGAGGCTCATCTTGTTCATTTGGACGAGAAAAGAAAATCATTATTAAAACAAGTAATGCTTCTCTTTCAATCGCGACATTTATACGCTATAAATGCGTCGTTGAATAACTCGTTTGTCACTAAATTATGAAACAATCGTCTTTAATGCGAACATAGAATTTCAGGTGCACAACGTTAAGCAAATTTTCTTGTTTTCTGTGAGAATTAATATGATCTGAACATTTGACCTTCAAAACGTTTAAATGCTTTAAAGTCAATGGTCTCCTAGTGACCTAAAACGTCGACTTTCTAAATGGATTCTAAAGTTGAAAAGTCAAATTCGTTTTCAGAAGCTCTGAAGCATACAGAATTCAACATCGAAGAATACCTTAAAACCCTTTTCCATGAAAAACTAATAGTGTAATTTCAGCTACTATTACCACTTATTCTCTAAGTAATGCACCTGCAGATGAAGATAGAAACTTAACTAGTTCTACCAAACTTTTGGAAAAATATAAGGAGCTTAAGAATGTCCAAAGCGGACTTATGGCCAAAAAAGACGTATAATTATATTAATCACGATTATCACTTTTGTAATAGGAGTTTAGGGTTAAAATGGAAGCCATACAAAAAAGGAGAGAAGACCTTGAGAAAAAAGAGTGTGAACTTAAAGAATCACTAATAAAGTTTGACCAATTTTTCAAGGATAATGATGAAAAACGAGTGAGAGCAATGAGGAAAATTTCAACGGAGAAGGGTTTGCAACAGCAAAAGCAGACTGAAATCAATATGTAACTGATAAATTTATGTTTGAAATTTTTGCAGTTTAAATGATGATATTGAATGCTTTACCAAAATACGTAAAAGGCTAGAAAAAAAGGTCAAGTCACTTCTTAAGTATCGGCAGTTTTTGGAGTCGGTTGTCAAAATGTCTGATGAATTTTCTGATATCTATGAGCTCATTTCACGTTATGACGCTTTAAAAGCCAACTTAAAGGTGAGTGGACTTAAAAAAGTGCGATTCTGTAGGACTTAAAAACCGCAGATACCGAAATTCAGAAGATGATAGACGAAAAAGGGTGGGAGCTTGTTCACTTTAAAATTGTAATTAGACTGATATACCTTGATATACTTTTGTAGACAAAAAAGGATGAGAAACTCTCTCTGACTAATGAAATAGCTGAGCTTCGTAACTTTTTGGAGTTGCAACAAGTGGACAGTAGAAATAAAGAGACTCAATCGGAGCACACAAGAGACCTAGCTGCTAATCGTATTTATGAATTTAGCACCATAGTGACGCAAGTCAAAATTGTATGTAATTGTTTTTCATTCACAGGGCTATATCTAATATGTATACTATTGTACGATCACATCAGAAGTACAGTGAATCAGCTAAGCCTAATGAAACTTGTAAACAACTAAGAGCAGTAAGTTAAATACTACGTTTTACAGTGTGGTTATTTGGACAGTTGATGGTGGTTTCAAGTAAAATTTAACCATTAATGTCATAGACAGAAAAATGGATTCTGTTATTGTATTTAACTGCACTCACGTTGAGCAAAAGACTTTAGCATTATCATACAAAATGTATTCTTGAAAAATTTGTAGATAGATATCAGAGTTCACTGCATGAATAAACTACTTGTTCTACCTCACTTTCTAATTCACTGGCATTGTATATGGTTTGTGTATGAGTTTTATACTTGTTTCTAGGCCTTTTCAAGCATGAGCCTGACTGGTTGTCAGATGGAATAAGGCAAACTGTCTTTTACTTTTCAGGTTATAACACAAGTTTAACCGAGGAATACTGAGGAGATCTCAAAAAACATTATTTTTGGCAGAATATGGTTCATTATTTAGTGCACTGGTGCATCAGTAGATCACCCATTTGCTGTCTAGTAAAATGTAAACTTTCTCAAGGTAAAAGTTTATGGCTGAATTTGAAAGTACCTAGCATCAAATACTTTGACTTAGTATTCAGATAATCAGATGCCGCTAGAGGCGAAGTGATTTTAGGTTAAAAATAATAATTTGGTTTTGACTGAGATTCCCTCGTTGATGATTTGTTATGGTATTTAAGTGCAAAGATAAAACTCCTGTTTATTTTATAAGTATTCTATCAAGCGGAGAACATGTTTTTTGGTCGGAGTTTGAATAGTTCACCTGTTAATTTATATGGCTTTTATCAGCATATTACTTATCATATTCGACCGACTTAAATCTGAAGTACTGTAATAATAGTAGAAAAAGTGCAAGGACATTTCGGATTATGTAAGCCATTTTGATTTCTCATATTTACGCGAGTAGATTGAATGAACAGTTGATTCTTGAGAGATTTAGTCAGATATACCTCAATGGTTTTTATCCGTTAGAAGTGTAGAGGCTGGAAGAAGCACACTAACACATCTAGATTTCAACTGACCAGTACTGATTTGTCAGCCCAAAATCTAGCCGATTCCACCAGGCTTCATTTTCATTCCAGATTTCCCTGTAAATCAAAATATTTCGAAGTAAATTTATTGCACCCACAAAATATCGTTCAAGTGCAATCAAGCTCGCTATTACACTAAAAAAAATCTCTAATATTATATTCATCCAAAGCCTTATCGTTCAAACAGGGTTGCAAGCGTAGTTTAAATACTACTCTATCCATATATTTCTTGTAAGACAGATGACCTTTCTGTAAAGAATCGTTTTGACCATATCCGTACCATGTAATGCGATACCAACTAGGCTGCTTTTGGAGGTGCTATAATCTCTTACTGTACAAATACTGAGTCTAATTTCAGAAACATTCATCTATGCACAACCTTAGATTTCACTTTAGATATTTTTTTCTTTTTAGGTTAAAAGTTTCATTCAAACGTTGGTCAAAATAATTGAAGAGGTGACACAAAAACAATAATGGTAACGGTTATCCTGTCTATCACATATTACTTACCACGCGAAATAATTGTTTATATTTTATGGGAACTGTTCTTCTCTACTTTTTGTGGTCACAAAGTTATGTTATTGTGCCATGAATCCAAAAATGCCGAAGTATAAAATGATGCCCAAAACAATCTTTTGAGAGTTTTTCTGGTACTTTTGCATTTGACTTCCTTCTAGACGATACTGTTGCAATTTGTATATCGAACAAACAAGGAATTTTCGGCAAAGAGGTACTTAGTGTGTTTCATTCGGCTTTTTTGTATTCAAAATAGCTCATGTACAAGTTTGTAACAGTTTGTGATTTTAGTAAGTTGTCTAACTACCTTACTTACAATAAACTCCTACTCTGTCAGAACATTTTCTCTGTTCATATAATATTTATTTCAATTGAATTTTCAACAAATTATTTGTATATTTTCGATATACAAATTTCTTTTCGCTTCTTATCATTAACTCTTACAGTATCAGTAGAAAGAAATATGAATGCTTGGCGGATAGTTCAGACTCAAATTAAAAATTACAATATATTTGTGGCTAACAGTCGGATACGATAGTGTACTTCAGGCTAGTTCATATTTTCACTGTACTGAGCCTTGATGAGTAAAGAATATTTGATATAATACTGATATGACTATTAAAAGGAATCTGAATGCACAGTTAAGCGTTACAAGTGAACAAAAATTAACCACTCTTATTGGTTAACAGAAGGTTGAATATCAATAGATTGCTATACTCTGGGTGGTAAATCCTTGCTATATACTTGCTATATCCTTGCTATACTGTAATTGCAAGGCAGGAAATTATCAGGTGCTATTAAGAAGTTAGAGTAAGTCATTTGAAGTATAGTTGTGCATGTGTACAACAATATTATTTCTCCCTTTTCTTTGGATGCTCTTCTCACTCAAAATGTTAGGGGTAGATTGGCTTTCATTCTCAGTATGCAAGTGGTCAGTAATTAAGGTTGAAATATCATTCGTCGATGATAAAATGTCAAAGACACAAATCAATGATTCACTAACTTAGGTCACCCTGAACAAGGAATGCGATGTTACAGTTTCCTCAATACACATTAAAAAAACAGAGTCACCACTTAAGGTTTCAATGTAATGGGTAGTAGTTAAAGAATTTGCCGACGTAAAACTAACCAACTTTTGTACTTGCTTGTTCTCCACTAATTATGATAATCAGTTTGCAATGTTGTCTGTCGGTTATGTTAAGACGATAAATGTCTGGTGATATGATTTTAACATTACGGAATGCTTTAACTAGGTTTTGCTAACCTTACAGGACGACGAAACTAGATTTAACACTAATCCTAAACGAATATTCTTTCTGTTGAGGTAACCGATATCATAGAATTGCTAGTCTATTTTGTTAATGAATCTATATTACTTGTTGGTGATAAGAGCTCGACTGGAAATTTATTTTCGTTTGTATAAAATTATTTTTAATATGTCAGTAACTATAAGTTTTATTTATAGGCCTATCATTTTATGTTCAGTTTGCACTGATTACTGCATGGAGTAGGCGTTATTACTACACATTAATTTAACTGCAAATTATTGGAAATAAGAAAAGCATGCCTACCAGGCTATTCTATCTAATCTACGCTTATTAGGGTGAAGGAATCTGTAGATCAGGTGAATATGTGGATAGATAAAACATGTTCTGGAAAATAAATAAGTGCTTTTACTGTTGTATAGAAGTGATATTTTTTAAGACTTTTCATTATGGCTTAAGAAGTGCTCTCCAGTAATAAATTAGTAAACTGAATTCCTTCTGAAGGTCACTTTCGTTTCAGAAATGATAAATTCAAGCTAAGGCAACACAAGTGGACTTATTTTGAATTCTACATGCATTACTTACAGAAGATAGAAACAAAAAACAGATAGCCATTTTCATCTTAAACTTACTAGACTTCATTTATCGGTCAATATGTTTTTGTAATACATACTTTTTGCTATGAATTCACTGATATATCAAGTAATATAAAGAGAAAGTGGTTCAATCGTACAAATTATTGATTTTATAACCGTACTTTAGTCTTCAATAGGTTTGTCATTTCTTTGAAGTAGAAACATAAACTGCATTAGTTACGTCTTTCGGTAAGCCGGCCGGATCTAAAAATCTGGGCTATTAGGTTCTGACTCAGTAATCACCTACATCGTTTTCACTAAGAAATCTAAGAACGTTTAGGATTTATGCAACTGTATTGGTCAAGAGAACTAGAACGAAGCATATTTCCAGTAGTCCCTTCATTCTACTTGGTTTATCAGCTGAGAGATTTAAAAATTATAACTGAATTTAACTAAATAGCTGTTTTGTCTTAGTTTTGAGGCTCTTCATGAATTCTCGAAAACATACATGAGTTTGAGATGGTGGAGAAAACCTGTAGCTCAGGTGGATGATTGTGGTGGCGTTTCGTTCTCTGAGCTCAGAGTCTTGAATCCAACTTGAATAACGGGATTTGAAGCGAAACAGCTATTCAGTTCCACCTGCATGTGAGTCATTCGTCACTTAATACTCGATTCATGACGAAGATCACTGTCAAGGCATCATAAACTCGATTCATAATTTACTTACTTACTTACTTACGCCTGTTACCCCCAATGGAGCATAGGCCGCCCACCAGTTTTCTCCAACCAACTCTGTCCTGGGCTTCCCTCTCCAGTTCTGTCCAATGTTTGTTCATTCCTCTCATATCTTTCTCTATTTCTCGGCGTAGTGTGTTCCTTGGCCTTCCTCTTTTCCTTTTGCCTTGAGGGTTCAATGTGAGGGCTTGTCTAGTGACGCAGTTGGGTGCTTATCGTAGTGTATGTCCTATCCACTTCCACCGCTTCTTCCTGATTTCCTCCTCCACTGGAATCTGACTTGTTATCTCCCACAGTTCGTTGTTGCTGATGGTGTCTGGCCAACGAATACGAAGTATTTTGCGTAGACAGCTGTTAATAAACACTTGTATCTTCTGAATGATGGCTTTCGTAGTTCTCCATGTTTCCGCTCCATACAGTAGAACTGTCTTCACATTTGTATTGAAAATCCTGATTTTGGTTTTGTTTGAAAGTTGTTTGGAGTTCCAGATATTTTTCAACTGTAGAAATGCAGCCCTCGCTTTGCCAATCCGCGCCCTCACATCTGCGTCCGATCCACCTTTCTCGTCGATGATGCTGCCAAGATATGTGAAGGTGTTAACGTCCTCCAAGGTATCTCCATCAAGCGTGATTCGGTTGGTGCATGTTGTGTTGCATCGGAGAATTTTGCTTTTTCCTTTATGTATGTTGAGACCTACTGCTGCAGAGGCTGCTGCTACACTGGTCGTCTTCTCTTGCATTTGTTGTTGCGTGTGCGATAGAAGAGCCAGGTCATCTGCGAAGTCCAGATCGTCCAGCTGCGTCCTAGATGTCCACTGAATACCGTGCTTCCCTCCAGATGTCGACGTCTTCATAATCCAGTCGATCACCAGGAGAAAGAGAAAGGGTGAGAGTAAGCAACCTTGCCTGACACCGGTCTTCACCTCGAAAGAGTCTGTCAGCTGACCTCCGTGCACGATTTTGCAGTTGAATCCATCATAAGAATTCCGTATGATGTTAACTATTTTCTCAGTTACACACCGTAGTGTCGAAGAAGCCTCCACAGTGTTTTCCTATCCACGCTATCGAATGCTTTCTCGTAGTCGATGAAGTTGATGTAGAGTGGTGAGTTCCATTCAATTGATTGTTCCACAATGATCCGTAATGTAGAAATTTGGTCAGTACATGATCGATCCTTACGAAATCCGGCCTGTTGATCTCGAAGTTGGGCGTCTACGAAGTCCTTCATTCTGTTTAACAATACTCTGTTGAAGACTTTGCCTGGTATTGAAAGAAGAGTGATGCCTCTGTAGTTCTCACACTTGCTCAGATCGCCTTTCTTTGGTATTTTGATGAGGTATCCTTCTTTCCAATCTGATGGTACTTGTTCCTCATCCCAAATCTTCTTGAAGAGAATGTGAAATATTTTCGCAGTTGCTTCTACATCTGCTTTCATTGCCTCTGCTGGAATGTTGTCTGGTCCTGCTGCTTTGCCGCTCTTGATTTGTCTGATGGCTATACTGATCTCCTCAATCGTAGGTGCGCCAATATTAATTGGGAGGTCCTTGGATGCTGCTTCGATGTTGGGTGTGTTCAGTGGAGCTGGTCGATTCAATAGTTCCTGAAAGTGCTCCACCCACCTATTTCTCTGTTCGTCAGTGTTGCTGATTATTTTCCCTTCCTTGCTTTTCACTGGTCGTTCTGGTTTACGATAGTTCCCGGCGAGCTTCTTTGTTGTTTCGTACAATTGTCTCATGTTTCCTTCTCTTGCAGCCTTTTCCGCCGTCATTGCTAGATCTTCCACATATTTTCGTTTGTCAGCTCTGATGCTCTTCTTCACTTCCCTGTTTGCTTCCGTGTATTCAGCTTGTGCCTTAACTTTCTCTGCTCTTGTTCGGCTGACATTCACTGCTGCCTTCTTGTTCCTCCTTCAGTTTTTGCAAGAGTATCAACAGAGATCCATTCCTTGTGATGGTGCTTCTTGGGACCCAAAACCTCCGGACATGTTGGACTTATTGCCTCCTTAATCCCTTTCCAATTGTCCTCTAATGTTGCGTCCTTTCCATTGAGTAGATCCTGAAAGGCCTGGAACCTATTGGTGAGGGCTATCTTGAATCCGTTGAGTTTTACGGTATCCCGAAGAAAGGCTGTATTAAATTTCTGTGATGTTGTCTGCCCCGTTGTCCAGTGCTTCTTTAGCGTCAGTTTCATTTTGGCGAATCAGCAAGTGGTGATCTGATTCTAAATCATCTCCTCACTAGGTTCTCACATCCTCCATGGTCCTTCTAAACGTTTTGATTATACAGATATGGTCAATTTGGTTTTGAGTAGTGTGATCCGGTGAAATCCATGTGGGTTTGTGCATGCGTTTGTGCGGGAATATTGTGCCATCGATGACCAGTTTGTTGAAGGCACATAAGTTTGCAAATCTCTCACCGTTTTCGTTCCTTTCTCCCAGTCCATGTCGTCCCATGATGTCTTCATATCCAGTGTTGTCCATTCCAACCTTGGCATTCAGGTCTCCCATCAGAATCGTCAAATACTTTGGTGAACATTTCTCGACGATTGACTGCAGCCTTTCGTAGAATTGATCTTTAACGTCGTCATTGTAGTCATTGGTAGGTGCATAACATTGGATGACGTTCATTGTAATGTCCTCTTTCTTTGTTTTGAAGGATGCTTTAATGATCCTGGATCCATGAGATTGCTATCCTATCAGTGCCTTTTCTGCTTGTTTGGACAGCATTAGTGCAACTCCTCGTGTATGTGAAGCATTTTCCTCTTCATGACCAGAGTATGACGGCAGTTCCCCTGAAGCTAGTCTCAGTTGTCCTACCTGTGTCCAATGCGTTTCACTGA